TTTTTTTGTAAAGAAGGGTTGTATTTAGAGGCCAGTAGCTAGAGATCCAACCAGTGGACCTCTTGAAGCACTACCAGGCCTTAAGGCCACCATCCGAGGGAGGCTGGGAAAACTATTATTCACCCGAGCCTCCGGAAATGTAATGTACCAGCAGGCAAAAAACAGTTCTTCATGTAGTACAAAATGAAATGAAACAAAACAAAAACAGAAAGTAAAAACGAAACCAAAACATTTCTTAAATTCTAGTGCCATAGCTTTTTTTTGTTTGTTTCTTTTTTTGTTGTTTTGTTCGTAAGAAAGAGAGAAAGGTACTACTTATCCGTCAGACACGTGCATCCTCATGTGGTCGTTGAACTGCTCGATTTGGTCAAACTTTGCTGGACAGACGGAGCAGACGTAAGTGGTCCCCTCCGTGCAGGCCACCACGCCTTGGGGGCCAGCGCGGGCACCTGGCGGTGTGCCCGCAGGAGGGGTCCCGTTGCTGGCACTGTGCAGGGCCACGTGTCGCTCCAGGAGGGTCTTGTGAGAGAACTTCTTTTTGCAGATGTAGCACTCGTAGGACTTCTCCCCGCGGTGGAGGCGCATGTGCACGTTGAGGGAGCTCTTCTGGGTGAAGCGCTTGTTGCAGATACTACACTGGTACGCCCTCACTCCTGTGTGTGTCACCATGTGCTTGATTAGGTAATCCTTTAAGGAGAAGGAGCGCCAGCAGATGCTGCATTGGTGGGGCTTCTCGCCTATTGATACGGGGAGAGACAGCAGGCAGGACAGAGCGGGACATAGCAAGGGAGGGAGAATGAGAGACAGAGAAACAAGACAACAAAAAAGAAAAACAAAAAAAAAATTAAAAAAAATAAAATTGGATTGCTTAATGGATCATCCTTGGTTGGAAAAGTTCAGGACTTCCTGGCCTCTCCTGTTCAGAGGAACCTTGCTTTATGGTGATGCTAGGACAGTTTTTGGTTTTCCACTTCCCCATGCCAGAAAATGGCTCTCTTGGAAAACTACCAGATAGTCTCCAACTAAAAGTCTTCAAAGATCATTCTGTGGAGAAAAGGGAGGGCTCCTTTCTAAGGGGATCATTCTCAGTGTCATCACCAGGGGATATAACTCGGGGAATTTAGTGTTTCCCATTAATGTAACATAAGAAAGAAGAGAGAAGAAAGATCGTTGGAGACATGGAGTTCTCCAAAATCTCTTGAGCTCGAAGAATATTGGTCATACAGCTTGGCTCTTTGGGAACATCCCCACTTCCAGTATTCTCTCTACTCAGTTTACCTGTATGTTGATTATAAGTCTGAAAAATATTGGCCAATATAGGAATAAGTTGTTTGGAAGAGCTACACTTTCCATTTTGTCTATTTTAGACAGAAATTTTCCTGAAATGTACCTTAGAAGTCAATTGGCTATTCTGTACTGACTGCACTGAGCTGCAGACCCACCCCAGTGGGTCTGGATGCTGAGCAGGTGGTGGCAACATGGGGATCTCAGGGCCAAGTGATCCTGTTCAAATCTTGGCACCAGCACACCACATGCCACTCTGACAAATCACCTCAGAGGTATCCAGTCGACTTACCTCACTGCGCTGGTGTTGACATATAATACATATGAAATCACTTTGTGGACCACCAAGGCTGGAGTGGGAATACTTGAATGGTATTTTTATTATAAGGTTATACCTCCACCTCTTGCCCCCCATTAAATGGTTCCATATGCTTTTTGAACTTTTTGGTCAATTTAAAAATGTTTTTCTGTTTCTCTGCTCTCAGCCTGTTGGCGAAAACCCTTTTTTTCCTCTTCATTTTACTACTTTGTTTTGTTGTTGGCTTTGAAACCAAATGATGAAGCTTAAGAAAGAATACTCAGTCACTGAATGACTCCAGGAGATACTCCTCTGTCAGTCAGGCCATGGGCCTATGATATCCCCTGTGGATAACCATTTAAAGATTTCTCTTTGTACTGTTCCTCTTCAGCACTGTTCTTGACAGGTGAGGTGAACTACTACATTGAGGTGTCTGGTCCAGTTCTACTACCTCATTACTGAGGAATCCACCTCAGAGAAGAAAGTCCTTCTGTGGATGCTTCTACAACCTGGCCTAAAACCCTAAGCCCCTGATTCTTCCTAGGGAAATATTTCAACATTTGAACTATGCATCCAGGTAGGACATCTATACATTTGAATTAACTTCCATTTAAAATAGGTGGCTCAACTATTTCTATTTCTTCCATGATGAAAGGGGAACGGTTTGATGCATCATAGTATAACAGCAATGAAAACATCTCCATGTACTGAGTGCTTACTGGGTGTGCCAGGTTCTGGGATAAGTGCCTTATGGTCATGATCCATTTTATAAAACTTTCTTTCTCAGAAAGTTTTTTTTTTTTTGGTTGTGTTTTCAAACAGAAAAGGATATGTTTGGAAGCACACTGATGGGACAGTATGATGCATGGGATCACAGGGTTAGAAGAGAATAATTTTACTTTTAGACTGAAATGGGAAGAGTTAGGAAGTCTCATTGGTAACAATCTCAACTTGCTGAAGAGTTCCGTCTGTGCATATGGTTCACCTTGGTAAATTTCTTTCTTTCTTTTTTTTTTTTT